CAGAATCTGAAGCAGGCTCCTCAGAGCCCGATGCAGGGCTCGAACTCAAAAACCGCGAGATCATGACCTGAGCCAAAGTTGGATGCTTAACCAACGGAACTACCCAGGTGCCCCTTGCCATCTCTGCTTTAGATGTCCTTTCTTTTTGAATAAGCAAACCATTACTAACGCTTGCTCTACCATTCATCCCTTCTTTCCTGTTCCAGAAGAAATGACTCTCCCTAATGTGATGTACATCATTCCCATGAATGATCATATTGTATATATGTCTGTCTACAAATATTCTGTTTTTCATGTTTAAATTCTTTTCAACAGGAGCGCCTGTGTGGCTCTTGATTTCAGCTCAGGTCACGAGCACAGTTTCATGGGATGGAGCCCCGTGTTGGGCTCCGTGTTGAGTGTAGAGCCTGTTTAAGATTCTCTCTCTGTCTCTCTCTGTCTCTCCCTCTGCCCCTTTCCCCCACTCATACATCCTCCCTTTTTCTAAAATAAAATTTTAGAAAATAAATTATTTTTGATAAAATAGCATCATATAGTGCATATCATTTTGTAATTTTATTTTTCTCAACATGACAGTTTTGAGAATTCTTCATGTCCATACATGTAGAACCGGTTCATTTGTTATAACTGCTATATAATATTCATTCTGGTGGAATAAACAGTCTTTCCTTTCCTCCACTGGTGGACATTTAGGGTATTTCCACTTTTTTCTAGGATAAACAGTGCTGCTGGGAACAACTTCATGTATGACACTTTGGGCATAGTTACCTTTTCGACTTTATTTAGTTTGGCAAATTATTTTAAATACTGTGATGGTACTAATTTGCATTCTCACTAGCAAGCTTACCGTATTCCTAAATACTCAAACACACTTAAAGTTAATGATGTTATTATTTTTGCCAATAATCTGAGCCATTATTTATTTGCCAATAAGCCATTATTACTTCTTTTACATTTTCCTGATTTCCAATAAGGTTGAATAACTTCTTATATGTTTATCATTGTGAATGAAATATCCTTTGATTATTTTATATTTCTTATAATTTTGTCTTTTTCTTACTGCTTCATTGGTATTCTATACACAGTCTGAATACTAGATCCTTTATCCAACAAATTGTCTATAATTTACCAGCCTGTTTATTTATTGCTTCTATGTACTACTTCTTATGCTTTTCCATGAGTTAAACCAGGAGTGTCAGCATTAGGTGGGAATTTGTTAAAATGGAAGATTCCTAAGCGCCACACACCACACCCCCCACCCCCCACGTTCCACCGTGATCTGCTAAATCAGAAACTGCATTCTAACAAGACCACTGGTTGATTTGTATGTGCATTAAAGATTTTAAAATACCAGATTGGGTGGTGATTAAGAGAAGTGTAAATTTTCTTCCCTGGAGTAATAAGATAGCAGTTCCCACCTGCCTTCTGCTGCTTTTTTATAAATCAAATTCCCTGGCTTTGGACCCAAATGCCCTCACTTAATACATCCTGGAGCTGCACCACAAAGTTTCAGAAATCAAAGAAGCTATTAAAATCTGATTCATAAATGCATATGTTTATGGGATTTCTGAGTCAAAATGCAAGCCTTGGAAGTTTCGTTGACTGCTGCCAAGAAAGGAATTGGTTCAGTGAGGAAGCATGATCCATCAACTGTCTTCCTTGTTTGTACACACCTCTGTTTTTAAGTTGACACAAAATGCTCCAGAAATGAAAAACAACTAAAATTAATAGGGGAAATCCTAGAGTTGTGCATAGCGTCAGACGTACGATGACTTCTGTATACCTACATGACTTCCTGAGGCTGGCCAGCTATGAAGGGGGCACTTCTCCAGCATGAGGGAGCTGACTCCACAGAGACCATCGGGCTACAGGGATGTGGCCACATTTCCCTGCTTGCTACAGCATTGGATCCGGCCAGTGGGTTCTAAGAAGCCCAAAGGTGTCACCTCTGGCCTGAAACCCTTCATTTCCTGCTTCCTCTCTCCGTCTTGACCTACTATGGTAATCAAAGAAGTCAGGAGTCACAATGGTGCCTCTGTGAACACTGTTGAGACTCTGTCAGGTGTCCCGGCCCCTGAGTGATCAGTGAAAGCGGGTCCTCCTACTGAGCCACGTTGGACATGTAGCATGAGTGAGGAAAAAACATTTTTTGTTTGTGTTAAGCCACTGAGATCTGAGTGTTTCTTACAATGCGGCATGGGCTGGGTTATACTGATGCAGGGAACAAAGCCGACTCTGCCTTTTTAGTAATAGCTAACACTGCTGACTGTCACTTTCTAGTCCAGGCTCTGTACTTTAAGTTCTATATGCATTATCTAATATCTCACAATAACCTTCTGAGATAGATGATAGTATTATCATATGTTATATGACATATGTGATACATACGTATACCATATGTATCTCTTTTATATAGATATCATCTACTATATAGTGATATAATGTGCAAGGTTTCTAACTTTCCTCTGGTTATGCTAAAAGTACTGTCTCTTGTTCTAGCTAAGGCTGGTCCCTCCACATGAGATCTGGATGCTATCTCTTCCTTATATTATTGGTGGTTCTTTCACGCTCTTGAACCTGTGTTTTCTCTCCTATTCCGTTTGCCCCTCAGCATTCTCAGGTCTCTCCAAACTTAACAGAAGCCCTCCATCTACCCCCCTTCCTCCTCCAAACACTATCTCCTGTTCTCTCCTATTCCATCTCCGTCTCCTATGTCTAAAGTGTTCACCTTCACTTGTCTATCTCAGCTTCTCCCACTCTCAACTCCAGTATTATTTCTTCCTCCATCACTGTACCAACCTCCTCTTTTCAGCACTTCTGATGATCCCTGCATTGTGAAATTCAGTGGACAGCCTTCACTTTACCTCATTTCTCAGCATCACGTGACACAACTGACCACACCCCTCCTGTCCAAACCCTGTTCTGTCCAGCCCTCCCTCTGTGGTTCTTCTCTCCTTTTCGGCTTCATCCTCTCTTGCTGGGCCATTAAATGTTGGCCTTCATCACGACTCATCCCAGCCTCTCTTTTCTTTTCATTCTACAGTCACTTGCCAGTCTTTCACTTAGAAGTCTTTCCCAAGGCTACCTAGACCCACGCACCCCCAAATGTGTGCCTCTATCTGGGGCTCCTACTTGCCAGCTGGCTGCTCAGCTCGGCACCTCCAGTTGGATGGACGCCCTCCACCCCACCACTTTACTCCACCCTTCCGTTTCTTTCCTCGGTGTTCCCCATCTTGGTGAATGGCACCCCCCTTCCCCTATTTGCTTACGTTGGAAACCCTGGAGTAGAGCTACATCAATACCTTCTGGAGAGCTCGGCAGCAAAATGTGCTTTCTCTTTTTGAAATTAAAAAAAAAAAAACAACAACCCTAAAGCATATCGTAACTAAAGTAAGTCTTTCGAAATTCTTATTTTCCCATAGTGACTATTACGATGCTTTCATAAAGAATATCTGCTTTTTCCCAACATAATTTAGGGCCCTCTGGCTGCTGTTGTGAGAGCTGTTTGGTAGCCCGGCACTGCCTGCGAGGAAAGAGTCAGACACCATTTCCTATTGATTCTACCTCCTGAGATATTTTCAAATCTGCCTGCCCCAGATTTGCCAGTACATCATCTGCCACGCCATGGTGACTGTTATCTGCACTAGCCTCTGAACCCTCCTCCTCGCTCCTGTTTACTCCCCACCGATCAGCCAGGCGGAATGCTCCCCGGAATACACATGGCTGATCCTGTGCTTCATTGCTTAAAACCCCTCGATGGCTTCCCATTGTCCTTAGGATAAAATCTCAGGTCCCTAACAGGCCCACTGTACCATGAGTCAGTGTTACGTCTTTGAGCTCCTAGAAAGAGCTACACTTTTTATGAGCCTTGGCCCACGATTTCCTTTCTGCCCAGAGCTCTCCCACCTCTCCTTGCTTCTCCTTCTTCAGTTCTTAGATTTAATGACGTTTCTTTAGAGAAGCATTTCTTAGCCTCTCACACCAGGTCAGTGCTCCCCCGTAAACACTTTCTTGGTAACTCCCACTTTGCTTTGAAAGTAAATGATTGTTTGTGGATTGCGTAGTGTAATCTCTCCTTCCCATTTTAATCAGACTCCCTGAGAAAGCCAATAACATGCTCTAGTACAGGCAAGATTCCTGAATCCAGCTTTGTTTATTTCTAGAGCCCATGGCCACGACCACTACGTGTGCATACATTTACTCCTCCTGTAAGATGGCTTTGTGCCTCTTTGTTTTATGATGCATGGGAAACTAAAGTCTGACTGTAGAAAAATATAGCATCTCTGGATGAATCCTAAAGCAATGGTGTTCGGCTGTTGGTGAATCTCTTTGAGCATTTTCTGTCAGTAGCAGATTGCACACCTCAGCCGCCTTCTGTGGGAGTACAGAGGGGGACACTCAAAGCATAGGTTGGGCTGGCTAAGCTAGACCCCAGCTCTCCCCCATTGTATAATGTCCACATCCATAAAAGGGAGTAACATTAACTACTTTACAGGACTGCAGTGGGACTCATTCATTCAATAAAGATTTAATGAGCATCTAGTATATACAATGTCTCGATTTATATGCTGAGGATACAAATGCGTTTTGTGGATGTTTCACAGAATGCCTATTTCACGTGCAGTTATAGACGGTCACTTATTACTAGTATTATTACAGTTGTGTGTCGACGTTTGCCTGTGTCACACAGCCCGAGTGAGACCGCATGTGATATTTGCGTTGTCTGTCACCACTACCCTTAAGGGGTCCTGGCAGGGCCTGGATCTTCAAAGCATCACTGCACGCCGTGGCCGCCCCTCCCCTCCTGGCCACCAGAGGGCGCGCGGCCTCTACCGCCCCGCCCGCAGCGTCTGCGCCTGCGCCTGCGCCGCTCCTGCCTCCCGGACTCCACCCCCCCTTCCCCACTGTCGCCCCGCCCCGCCCCGCCCCGCCCCGCCCCGCCTCGCGCCCCAGCGTTCCGCCTCCGTTGCCCCTAGCGGCTGTTTGTTGACTTCCGGGAACGCGGCAGTTGCCGATGTCCGGGTTGTCGCAATGGGGAGCTGGGGGGCTTCTGCGGCCAGCGTTGGGGCCGAGAAGCTGCCATAGACCCCACCGAGTCTCCCCCTCGACCTTCCGGGTTCAGGCGCAGACTCTCCGCACCGCCTTCGGCATGGGGGAATCCGAAGAGGAGGAGGTGCCCGGTGAGTCGCGTCCGCGGTGGTGGCAGCGGGCCGGGAGGGAGGGTCCGCGGGCGGGCGGGCGGCCAGGTCCCGCCTCCGGGCCGCCCCGTCGGGGGAAAGACCCGGGCGGCGGCCGCGGGGCTGGGTCCGGAGCTCAGGCCGCACCCGGGCGGAAAAGCTGAAAAGAGCGGAAGGGAAGGGAGGGGAGCACGGAGACGCGGTGCTTGTGTTTCTTCTCTTTCTTTTAAAACAAGCTTTCGACGAGTTTCTCGAAGGCAGGGGCAGTTTTTATCTCCCTGTAAACTTCTCAAAGTCGTCCTTCGAGGTCCCCGGGACCCAGTGGTGTATTGAATGCAGTAAAGAGTGGGTGACCAGGGGAGCGTGGGGTAAGAAATGATGTAGCGGGAGCTGTTATCGAGTGCTCGGCTAATACTTTTTCCCTGAATTCCAGAAATACATTTGACATTGTGACTCTGTACCACATGTATAGTGTAACAGAAATAGACGTTTAATGAAGCAGTGCTTATTCTAACCGCTTGGTATGCGCTCAAATCTTTTCTATATTACAGCCCTTTAAAAATGATAATCGTGACCTACTAAATTGATTTTCTGACCCACTAATGGCTCAAGAACAAGAGTTTAGAATAACACTGGATTGCAGCAAAATCAGGCATTCACTGAGATAAATAAATATGTATTGCGTTTTCTGCCATGCTCTTGGCTCCTACATGATTAGATTCCTGACCTCCTGGACTTCACAGCCTAGTGAGAGACACTAGAGAGTAAACCAAATGACAATACTATCTCACAGGAGATACCAAAGGACACAGCAGAGCCACCAAACCCTGCCTTGCGGTGAGGCGATCAGGGCAGCTATCTGGGAAGCCAGAATAGGACAAAACAGTTAAAATTATTCATTTTAGAAAAACCCAGAAGCCTGTTCTAGAACCTGGCCTCTCAGATCTCAGTTATCAGTTAGAACTGTCACGCCTCACAATTGTTCTCAAAAGATTTGTCACAATGCCTAGTCTCTTGTATATTATTACATCTTATTAATACTTATGCTTGCTATGTTTTACTTTTTGGTACCCATTAGTTTCTTTCTGTGTGATTATTCTTGAGATTTCCTCAAAATCTGGATCTGGCGCGCGCGCGCGCGCGTGTGTGTGTGTGTGTGTGTGTGTGTGTAAATGGTTATTGGGAACTGGTAGGGATTTTTGGTCTCCCTCCAAAATGGTACTGGACCAAAATAGTTTGTGAATACTACGCAGATCAGGTAGTATTCCTGACTTAATTTAAGAGTGTTAAATCTCCACAGCCTGTATCCACAGGATGCTAATGATGAAACAATACTGTCCTGTTCCTAAGGGTGGAGACAAGCCTTCAATGAGGGGCGGGACCATGAGGTGTTAACGAGCATTAACGGCGGCACAAATTCCATCAGGTCATTCCAGGGAGCAGATGGTCCATGTGGGGACAGCAGGACTTTTAGTAATGGAGGACTGCCGTGATTTTTAAAAATTATTTTACACCAGTAAATGAATAATGAATATTTGATTTAGCAGATTTCATAAATAAAACTCGAATAAAGTCGGAGGAATAAGACCGAAGTAAGGTAGAAGGAGAGCCGTAAACAGTGCTGGAGTGGAAGCAAAGAGGTCAGGAGACACGGAATCGGTACAGCTAAATTACTGAAAACGTGTTTTAGTAACAGGCAACATAGTAACAGTTGTAAAATAGAAACTGTCGCATGTTTTTGCAGATTCGGGTGCTGTGTTTACATTTGGAAAAACCAAATTTGCTGAAAATATTCCCAGCAAATTCTGGTTTAAACATGATATACCTATAATTCTTTCATGTGGAGATGAACACTCTGCAGTTATTACAGGTTAGTATTGAAATCCTAAATGTATCTCAGAGATTTGCTGTGTTTGAAACATGTTGAATACATATTTTGCTTTACCGGAAGCGTGTTTTTCCCTTTTACCAAAGAATTCTTGATAATTCTATTCATCAAGAGTGTTTGAAATTTTAAATTCCCTGAGTATATTTAAATATGATTTTCCATACACACTACTTTCTTGGAATAAATTTATTTTAATGTATCTGTGTCATCAAAAGTGATTACTGTATAATCTTGGAAACTTTCTACACCTAACAGAATCTGGTAACCTGTAGATGGACAGTTAAAACAATTCATTTTATTTATTTTTTAATTTTTTAAAATAATTTTTTTAAACTTATTTTTTGAGAGAGAGATAGAGAATGAGTGGAGGAGGGCCAGAGAGAGAGGGAGACACAGAATCCGAAGCAGGCTCCAGGCTCTGAGTCATCAGCACAGAGCCTGACGCAGGGCTCGAACTCACGAACCGTGAGATCATGACCTGAGCTGAAGTCGGAGGCTTAACCGACTGAGTCACCCAGGCGCCCCTAAAATAATTCATTTTAACCTGGGCAAGGTAACCGGTTTTAACATGGAAAAGCAGTACAATTCTTAAGTATAGCTTTTTTTATTGCTTTGTGATGACTTCATCTCCCATCACTTTATGTTGAAAAGGCTTCACTTTCTTATGTCTTTTCTTCTTCCCCCCAGGAAATAATAAACTTTACATGTTTGGCAGTAACAACTGGGGCCAGTTAGGATTAGGATCCAAGTCAACTGTTAGCAAGCCAACGTGTGTCAAAGGTTTGGGGTCTTTTCTTTTTTATCGCTTGAAATACTTAAGCTACCTATAGTACTTTTATGCTGATTGTGACGTTCTTTAATATCATGTTACAAATAATAAAGCCTTTAGTTCTTTTATTCTCCAGTATTTACTTGACTATTACTGGTATTTAACTTTATTTTTCATTTGATATTCTGAACTACTTTTATATGTTAGGGTCTAAGCATCACGTTGATTTTAAACCCAAAGACCACAAAGGAAGTAATGATTCTTCAGTATTGCACTTGAATATCTTTTTATTTTGTCTGTTTGTAAACCTACTCAAATATTACTGTTACTGTATATACAAAGAACGAGCGATACAATATATTAGAATCTTGAGCTCTGTCTCATTTGTTACGATTTGTAGACATCATGGTTTTATGTAACTGCTGGCTTTAGAAGTTCTACCTTACCCTGCTGTATATAGTGAGTAGATGTGCTGAGCGGGACATCGGGACTAGGCATTGATTACTCCTAGCGTTTTTACAAGAACAGGACTAATTTAAACTAATTTAAACTAATTTAAATCAGGACTGTCCCAGAAAACATGGGTGTATCACACCTTTACAAAGCTTTCATGGCATTATGTGCAAAGCTTCTGTTTGGTCATGACCTGTGGACATCAGCTAAGCCTGAGGGATGATGGAGATTCCCTAGGATGTGACCAGAGCAGTGTTCTTTAACTTCCTAGCCACATGTTTAATTTCACAGTATTCCACTTGGTCAAAAAGCATTGATGGAGCACAGTCTCCTAAACCCTGGGTTTATTCACAGCCCTCATGATCTTTACTCTCAACTGTCTGACAGATGAGGTGACAGCATTGTCTAGACTGTGAGATCCTTGACACCAGAGGCTCTGTCCTGGTGATCTTTGCAGCCCCTCTGCTGCGCACTTAGGAGATATTCTGTAAATCTTTTTTGAATATGTAAATGAGTGAGTGAAGGACTTTAACATGGGTGTATGCCTGTGACCATGGGACTTGGAGCATCTCATCGTGTGCGGTAGAAGGCAAGCTTGACGGCAGATTAGGGAATGGCTGAGGTTGGCGAGGAGGCATCCTAACAGCGCAGTGGATCTCAGTACTTACTAAGTACCTGCCGAGTTTTAAAAAATATGCAGATGCCTGGCCCGCACCTCAGACCTACTGGTGTAAGTTCTCCAGGGGCGGGCTGAGCTGTCTGCATTCTCAACGCTCCGCTGGTTACTGTGATGCACAGCCAGTCCTGAATTGTTCATTAGTCAGCACCTACTGGGGAGTCAGCAGGCCGGGGTTTAAATCTCACTTCTGCTTAGTTACCCTTGGACCTGGGTTATTTATCATTTTCATAACCATAAAAGAGTTTAATTGTCCTGTCTTTTTATATTTTTAGCTTTAAAACCTGAAAAAGTGAAATTCGCTGCCTGTGGAAGGAACCACACCCTAGTCTCAACAGGTGTAGTATTCAATCTGTACGCCTTCCTGCCGGATCTGAGGACTGAGGTTGCGCCCCAGTAACGTTTGTGACTTTGTAAAATTGATAGAAATGGCACCTTGGCAACAGTAAGATTAGGGTTTTTAAAAACGTAAATGGTTAGCACACTTGTTTGCCTTTGAAAATATGTAGATCAATGTTAAATGACTGAAGAAAATCTTTTCTTAGATTGTCAAGGGGCGGCATCTCCTGTCCTGCACTTCCCTCTTTTCTGAGGGTGAGTGGGAGCCGTCCCCAAAAGGCTATTGATGTGAGCACAATTCCAGTGAAAATCCAAACTGTGTGTGTGTGTGTGTGTGTGTGCGCGTGCACAAACTGACAAGGTGATTCTAAAGTTTATATGGAAAAGCACAGGACGTAGAATAGCCAAAACAGTTTTGAAAAGAACAAAATTGGAGGACTAGCACTATTGATTTCAAGACCTGTAGAGCCACAGTAATCAAGACAGTGGGCTACTTGCAAAAAGAGGGACAGTGAGTCACGGGACAAAACAGAGTCCAGAAGTAGACCCACATGCGTGTGCCCAACTAACGTTTGACAAAGGGGCCAGGGCAACCCAATGGGGAGAGAGTCATCCTTTCGAACAAATGCTGCAAGAGCAAATGGAAACTCAGGCACCCATCACCCAGCTGCCTTTCCTGCCTCCCTTCCTCCCCACACCTTCCGTGTTCAGGTTATTCTCACTGCCTCCAGCTGCTCCTCAGCTCTGTGCCCTCATTCATACATCTTCCTCACTGAAATGTCTTTCTCTTATTCAGGTTTGTACCTTTTAAGATCCAGTATAAGTCTTCTTCCATGGAACTTTCTGTGGCTATTCAACTTTGACTCATACAGCTCTCTGAACTGCTTTAGCATTCCACCAGCTCTCATTCACGCCATATGTGTTAATTGTGTGGTCCAATTCCACTTGGCCTTCTAGTATGTTCCATTTGAAAGCTAGTCTTGGTTCCTCAGTTAGGTTTCATTTTTTTTTTCCTAAAATAATACATAACTAAATTTTTACTAATTCAGGCTTATTTTGCCCTTCGTTTCCCCTGTAATTTAATTTCATGTGCTTTTTTATGACTAATTTTTAATGCATGTAGGTTTTAAAAAATCTTCATTACTTTAGAGCTTACTGGCAATTTTTATTATCTAGGCATGATATACTTCATATTTAATTAATAAAGCAACAAACATTTATATAGTACTGACAGTGAGCCAAGTGCTGTTCTAAGAATTTTATGTCAGCTAATTTAATCTTTATGACAACTCTGGGAAGTAGGCAGCATTTTTATCCCCGTTTTACAGATGAGGAAAATGAGCCACTGAGAGGTTAAGTACAGCGTGCTATAGCTCACACAGCTGCTAAGTGGCAAACCAGCAGTTACACCCAGGAAATCTGGCTCTCCAGTCCTTTCTCCTAAACCCAATACTATACTGCCTTCCTGTTTAGCTCGAAAATCAAAATAATTACACAGCATAGAGTTTTCATGTTTCTAATGATACTCTTTTTGGTTTTGCCTCATTTTACTTGTTACATATTATAGCTTAACTTTAATGGGTATGGAAGTTAAAATTAATGAACCACATCTCTTAAAATGGTTGGATTTGGATTATAAATTAATTTGGAAATTACTTTCCTCTTTTTTTGCTCTGAATTAATAAAGTGCTACATTAGCAAGAAAATACATTCCTCACATTCTGCGCCTTTCAGTTGCTACTGAAGCTCTAGAGCTACTTAGGAAATCTCACAAAAATGTAGAACCTTGCTTGTTTTGCTTCAGTTTTGACAATGAATTGAAGTTCACCAAATTGTAGGATAATGTCAGCTTTCAGCTTTCTTCACTGTTAGCAGAGGAAATATCTGCTAACTGGCCTGTCTAATAAAGATGGTGACTATGGTATACTGATGTTTTCTTTTCTGTGTGCAGAAGGAGGCAAAGTGTATGCAGCTGGAGGAAATAATGAAGGGCAGCTGGGACTTGGTGACACCGAAGAGAGAAGCACTTTTCATCTAATTAGTTTTTTTACCTCCCAACGTAAGATTAAACAGCTCTCTGCTGGGTCTAACACTTCAGCTGCTCTAACTGGTGAGACTTTGATCGGTTCAAGCTGGGATCCATTCCTTTCCTTTAGACTGGGTTATACCAACTTAGTAAACTGACGACAGCACTGCTGGTTTAATTTTCTTTCAGTAACTGTGTGTTTCCAGAAGACATTTAAAATCGAACTTTTAAGTCATGACATACATTACAATTGCGTGTTTATTTAGAGTCAGATGTAAACACACACTTAGCTGCTCTGCTGTCCATCTACTCCTTTAGATGTTCTTAAAGACTATCTTAATTTTATTCTGAAAGTTATACTTGCAGCTTTAATAAAGTTGCTGTCAGAAACATGGAAATGTACAGGATGTATGTTATTAAAATACAGTCTGTAACGCCCATTGTATCTCTCTGGCCTCTCTCTCTCACTCTCAAAAGCCCATTTGAGAAATGCCTTTAAAATTGGAGCCAAGATCTACCTGGTGCCTGTGAGGAGGCTGCCGATGGGCCTGTCGGCTCCAGTCGGCCAAGCCCGGGACGCCCCGCACAGCTCCCGGCTGCCAGGAAGGCCGGGCTCAGAGCCCCAGCCCCTTGCCTTCAGCCCTGTCTGCCATCCACTTAGCGTTCCAAAGTCCTTCTTTTGGTTCTTATTCTCAGTTTTCCTTTTATTTGCCTTATTGTTACACCACTTCAAAGATTTAAAAAAAATTAAATTAATGAAAAGACATAAGTCTTGAAAATTTCCTTTCTAAAGGATCACACCCAGCTTAACTTTTTCTTCCATCGAAACCCTTATCAGAAAGAACATAAGCAAACTTATTTCGGAGATGCTGTATGTCCTCATTCTCTGGAGCTGTGTTACATGTTTTCAAGTATAAATTATAAAAAAAATAGTGAAATATATTTCTGTATATATTTTTTTGTCTTCCTTTAACACTTCACTTTCACACTGTTCTCAAGGGCGAGCGCCTCCAGGCCCTTTTTGACATAGGACTTGCCCAGAAGATGTCCAGTGGCGCTCACACTGTCATTCAGTTGCAGGCAGACTGCTTGGAAGGAAGAAACATTTTCTGTTTAGAGGCAGTAGACTAAGAAAAGGTTATCGTAGGGAAGAAGATTCTGTCTTTGCTCATGAGATCAAAATATGGACATGATTTGCATCACATTATTTTCTGTCCTTTAATCTTCACAGAAGCATTTCATAATGGAAATTGAACTCTTAAGTAGCTAGTTTTTCAGTGCCTTAGTACCGCTTTTCTCTCAAACCATGTAGTTTTTCCAAATTAAAAAATCAGTGGTGTGTTGGAAATATACTGACTTGATAGCCTTGCTACCTCTAAACCCTTTTTTCCTCCTGTGTTTTCTTTATAGAGGACGGAGAGCTCTTTATGTGGGGTGACAATTCTGAAGGACAAATTGGGTTAAAAGATCTAACTAATGTGTGTGTCCCTCAGCAAGTGACCGTTGGGAAGCCTATCTCCTGGATATCCTGTGGATATTACCATTCAGCTTTTGTAACAAGTAAGATAGGACATTTTGGATTTATCATGGTCCCCCCATTTCAGAGTGTTTACTCAGTAGTAAAATGAGCCAACGTTCCACCGTTCTCTGGAAATGAGGCCATGGCAGTCTATGTAATGAAATAATTTTGGTCTGTTTTGGGTCACAGTGTTTCTCCATTTTAATGATAAGAGTTTATCATTTCAAACTCATTCTGACATGTCAACTTCTTAGTGGATATCCGGTCTGTGAGAAAAACAAAACGTAGATGTTAGAAACTCTTCTCAACTTTGGTTCTCAAACTTCTTGGATTCCTCGGCGTTCGAAATGAGACCTATGGGCCACTTTCCCCTGGGTGCACTCACCTGTGTGCTTTGACCTGCTCTACTCTTGTCCTGATAATTTGCTTTCATTTCAGCAAGGGAGTCCCAGGCTTTCAGTATGAGAACAGAGATATAGGGGAGACGGAAAAAGAAGATTGCTCAGGATGGGATATGATTTCCTTTGCTGGGACTCTGCTCCGTATCCACAATCTCTTCCTTTCCGGGGCTCCCTGGCAACCCTTTCTGCCTTAGTTAAAATATTTAGAATGTTATAATCTGCACCTACACTAGGAGTATTGGCGTATGATCCTTCCATCTTATTGGCGGTTTTTCTAAGCACAAAAACACCTAGAGAAAATATAGTTTCGTGGCCCCTCTTAGAAATCTTGAAATCTTTGTTTTATACATTCACTCCTTTTTCCGTGCACCTTAGATTCAGATTTAGAACGTGCTGATTGACCCATCCCAGTGGCCCCCAGATCTACCAATGACTTGGTAGCATCAGGGTACCAAGAGAGGGCAAACTCCAACTCACCTGGCATTGTTCACCACTGTATCAGTTTGTGTCTCTCGAACAAACTAATAATAAATATCACCAAATGAGGGAGTGAGTGAATGAACAATGAGTTGTATTCCTTGGGGCAGTGCTACCTAACAACTTACTGGCAATTTCCAGGCTTCTAGGGTTGCTCTAGTCTGTGCTCACTTTATGAGACAAACAAAAACGCACATAAATGGAAAAGCAGTCCAAACAAAAACTCCAGGCAAAAGCATTGTCTTATACTTAGATTTTAATAAAAGGGCCAGATTCAGTGTTATGACCAAACTCTGCTTTTACCAGTAGGAAAACAAGGGGAGTTGCTCATCGTAACCAGCAGGCATTACACGGAGCTTTTTTTGTTTTGTTTGTTTTTATGCCTTTTTAAAAACAGCTTTATTGAGTGGAATTTAAGAAACAAAAGACCAAAGGGGGGGGGGGTTGGGAAGAGACAGATTGAGAAACAGACTCTTAGCTGTAGAGAACAAGCCACTACTTACCAGAGGGGAGGTGTGGGGGGCAGATGGGTGAAAGAGGGGAAGGGGATTAAGGTGTGCAGTTGTTGTGATGAGCGCCGGGTGATGTATGGAAGTTTTGACTCCCTATATAGTACACCTGAAACTAATACAACACTACGTTGACTAGAATGGAAAAAAAAATTTTTTTAAGTCAACATATAGCTCATGTACCATACAGATTTATTACAGCGAAGGATATAGAGCAGTAACAGCTGGAGAATACACTCCCTAGTCCTTCCTCTTCTGAGGCTGCATAGGACATGCTTTCTCTTTGGCGGTGAACTACAGGGATGTGTGTGTGATGTCCCTGCCCAGAGAAGCCCACTGTATTCTCAGGGTCTTAGGCTTCTTTGTGGGGGGCTGGCTGTGTAGGAATAACCTTCTAGCAAGTAGTCACAGCAACTGAAACTCAGGTCCCTCGACAATGAAACCAGGTGCCCTAAGGACCCAAGCTGCCATAACTCAGTGCTCCAGGCATACAAAACAAAAATATCAAGCCCTAATGTGAAGAGCACTCCAAGGGCCACGTTCCGGGGGGTTGGTCAGTATTCAATCATGGTTCTCTTGAACACATGCAAGTAATAAGCAATCAGGTGTACTGCTCCCTCTTTCCTCACGCCATCGGTGATATGTTCCGTGTCAGATAACATTACATATCTACAAAGGTTTTTAAATTTCTGCCTTATAGAATTCAGTTATTATTATCCATTCACAGAAATGGATAAAAAAAAATGTACTTGCTTTCAGGAAGCTCATGGTCCTAGTGTGGTAAGTATAACAGAAGCAAGTCAATAGTATTAGTACGGACAAGACCATGACTAAACATCATGAGTTCCTAGATAAGAGAATCCTTCTGGAGAAAGTACCATCTAATTCAGTAAAATCTGCTATCTTGAGGCTTACTCAGCCTATTTATTTCACACATAAATGAGTTTTTTAAAACAAATTTCATAAAAACATTTAACAAGTGTTCGTTAAATATTTCACATACTGGACACTGCTAGGTTCTTGGAATACCAGAGTGAACAAGACAAATCCGTGTCCTTATGTGGGCTTAACGTCTAGTCATTTCGCTTTACTCAAAGTAAGTGGAAGTAAGACGGTCTTCTCTATGTTTTGTGAAAGAGCTAAAATCTTTCTAGCTCATCAGTAGTGGATGGTTGTGAATTCATGAACATTTTGGATTTGAATAATCAAAGGGCAAAGAAAACCTTTGCTTTATTGCCTTACCACACAGTAAAAATATCTCAAGAAGGGTTAAATTTATCAATTTGTCATTGTCTGCATTTTTAGTTGAACATGAGAACGTGTGCCCCAAAGACCAGTGTTTTGTACGTACGTCTGTCGTCACTGACTACTTTTCTTTTCCTTCGATAGCGGAGGGAAAACTGTACACGTTTGGAGAACCAGAGAGTGGGAAGTTAGGTCTTCCCAATCAGCTGCTTTGCAACCACAGGATGCCCCAGGCAGTGCCCGGAATTCCTGAGAAGGTGGTGCAGGTAGCTTGCGGTGGAGGGCACACTGTGGTTCTCACAGGTACGTGGGGAGCCTGCTGCTCCGTTCCCAACTTTCTGTGGTGGCCAATGAAAAAAACCATTTACGTTTGTTTTCTTGTCATAAGAAAGCTTCACATCTGACCCACCCTTTTCACAGATTTTCAAGTCTGTAATACAGTATCGTTATCTCAAGGCACAATGTTGCACAGCCATCTCTAGAACTTACCCCGTGTAGCTGAAACTTAATACCCGTTGATAAGCTGCAACCCTTTCCCCATCCCAACCCCAGCAACCACCATTCTAATCTGTGCTTCTATGAGCTTGAACGTCTAAGATACCTCACATAGGCTGGCCTTGCATCTGGTTTTCATTAGGATCCCCATCTTTGATTTCCATAGTTCATACACGTTCCTGGCCTGTGGAGGAAATTTGTAAGTAGAAAAAAATGAATCTTGTTGAATTATTTTTGCTGACATGATGGACATTTTCATGATCTTAACACCCTTAACGGCAGTGGTTAACATTGTTTTTAGCTTGTTTTCAAGGACAAACCATTTTCCTCATTTGTGTGTGTGTGTGTGTGTGTGTGTGTGTGTATGTATGTGTATAGTCTATATTTATCTAAAATTGACATTATTTTTCCTGAAGTATTTTCTTTTTCCTGTTCATGCAATTTTCTACATATCGTTGGTGATTCTTTGTGATATTCACAATGTAAAAGGTGGTAATTTCTTTGTGGTTTTTGGGTTCTGTTGTAGTAATTCATCAAAAAGTGTTAAGATTTTAAATTCTAGATAATAGAAGAAAGTTAGAGGCTTAATAGCAATGTCACTTGTGGCTTCTGAATTTTGTATTTGGTATGACATGTCACTTTTCAGGATCCTAGTCAGTCCGGTGAAATATATGTGCTACTTGATAATACACTTACTAAATTGCTGCCCCTAAATTTGTTCAGCATCAGATTCTTTAAGACGAATAGTACACAGATAATATAGTCAGTGAGTTATTATGGGTTCTTTTTGGTCAAAAAGAAGTGAAGTTTCTGAAGTTACCACTTAATCTTCAGTAACCCAAAGTTAGCAGCATTCTAGACAAATTTTGAATGATATCCAATTCTTAGATGATATGCTTAACATTGCAAGGTGATTGAGCGACTTTTTACCTTTAGATTTCCCTCCCTTCTATCACTTTGCCTTGACTTTTGTTCTCGTCCCAGTCATGCATAGTAAGCTGTGGTTTTCCAGAATTACAATGCCCAGATGGGGTCTTTTTTCCAAGTTAGCAATAACTTTTTTCCAAGATCTCCACTCTAAATTTCGGAAGTAATTCTGGGGTTTAAGATTTCTTTGAATTTCTGCCAACAAAATGAATTTTCATATAGTTTTCAAAAGATTTATTCTAAGAGAGCCTGGTGGCTCGGTCATTTAAACATCCAGCCTTTGATTTCAGTTCAGCTTGTGAGTCATGAGAGTGAGCCCCACGTGTGGCTTCGTGCTGGACATGGAGCCTGCTTGAGATTCTCTGTCTCTCCCTCTCCCTCTCCATGCCCCTACCCCATGCACATGCTCTCTCTTTCTCCCTCAAACAAACAAACAAACAAAAAGACTTATTCTAGGAATTAAACTTTGAAATTAATCTTTGTAAATTATCTGAAATGTATTCTATAGGCAGAAATACAACTTATTCTTTATATGTCATATATTTTCTATAATTTATACAAAGATTATAGAAAGAATTTATTAGGAGATTGAAGCTTATTCTAAAGGAGACAAATATGAATTATATAATATGTCATTCAACCATATATTATTAAATACTATTATATAAAATGAGCACCCATATAATCTATAATACTCTTAATTATACTTAAAATTTTTAAATATCCTGAAGTGTGATGTTTTCTTGCAGTATTATAGAAATTTATCTTTTTGTGGATTTAATTTTGAAGTTAAAAACTATGCTGCCAGAAATTGTTCTCTCTAGATTTTTGTAGCCTTTGGGATCTCACGAGCAGTAAAGTTTTTGTATTTAAAATTTTTAATTTTGTGGGGGCGCCTGGGTGGCTTAGTTGGTTAAGCATCCGACTTTCGCTTAGGTCATGATCTCGCAGTTCATGGGTTCCAGCCCCGCGTCGGGCTCTGTGCTGATAGCCAGCTCAGAGCCTGGAGCCTGTTTCAGATTCTGTGACTCCCTCTCTCTGACCCTCCCCTGCTCATGCTGTCTCTCTCTCTCTCTCTCTCTCTCCTAGAAATAAATAAAACATTAAAAAAAAAATTTAAAAAAAAATAAAAAAAATAAATAAATAAAATTTTTAATTTTGTGAAAAGAGTAAGAGGACCGACAGAGGCATCTGAGTGGCTCAGTTGGTTAAGCATCCGACTTCAGCTCAGGTCATGATCTCACAGTTCGTAGGTTTGAGCCCCACGTCGGGCTCTGTGCTGACAGCTCAGAGCCTGGAGCCTGCTTTGGATTCTCGGTCTCCCTCTCTCTCTGCCCCTCCTCCGCTTGCAGTCTGTCTCTTTCTCTCTCAAAAATAAATAAACATTAAAAAAAATTTTTTTTAAAGAATATGAGGACCAACAGATACTGGCCATCTTCTCATTTGCATTGGCTAAATATGGACATTGCATAAAAAATACAAGCTTTCCACTATTATATCATAAATAAGGGGCATTTCAAAACAAATATTCATAAACTCTCAATTCTACTGTAAAACACACCCTCTTAAATATATGCATTGATCTGTCTGGAAAAGTCACTACTTTACCTGTTTTTCACGTATCTCCATGGACCTGTCAGAGCTTTATTATGATCCAGCCCAGGTGAGAAGCCTGTATCCTGGAGTACAGTGTGGACAGAGATGTGTAGTCCTAACTGATGAAGAAATGGACCTGAAGCATGTATTGATTATTGTTGACTAAGTACTAAATTGAATACTTAAGAGTTACAGAGCACTGTGCAAGACCTTAAAGGAAAGAATAGCTAACCATCCATTGCAGATCATTCCCTTCACTAAAAGAAAGGGCTTGGATTAGGTGATTCTATGGGGGGCCCTCCCTAGCATTAGCATTGTTTTTCCTTTTGTCTGTAACCCTGACCTTAAAAGCTGTTTTGGTATAATTCATTAAAATACTTTAAAGATAATTTAAATTAGTTCATTGTTGATGAATTTATTTAAAGCATAATATTTCTACATTGACTGTAGGAGGTTAGAAAATACAACAACTGGCTGTAGCGACGGTATGATTAGTTTCTCCTTAGACTCAGGGAGACAGTGGACTCCTGTTGAGAAAGTGTCAGCCCGGAACTCGGGATGCACCGAGTGAGGCAGAGTGATAGATGTAATCTGGTCTGTTGTCCACAGCCTTCCCCACAGACGAGGAAGTCCTGCTTATAACATGGGGTCCACAGTGAAGTCTGGATCCCAAGGAAAATCAGAATTTACCTTAACTTCTCTAGATTATGTTTGGACAAACTCAGGATCTCTACAGGGCAACAAGTTACTAGTCATGCGATCAAGTGTATTCCGAGAAATCAGAATAATATTGATATGAAGCCGACTAATAAAATGGGTTTTCCTAATAGGGTATTATTAATCAGCATCGAATTACATTGTTCAATGTTACAAAGGTGATATGACCAAAAATATATTAGTTGCTATATGTAACATCCTTAAGTAAAAGAGTCTTTGGTCATTTTTTAAAAAATGGAAACTATTTTCACTGCTAATCATTCAAGTACCTGAGAGTGAACTCAACAAGGTCAAGAGCAAAACTTCTGTAGCCTGATTCAGGCTGCCAGAATGGCGTCATTTCCCAGGCTCATCTCAGACAGCCCACGCAAACTAGAGTAATTCTTGGCCAGCTAGAGATAGGCACTTGGTGTTTTACATTTATTTTTGAGAGAGAGAGCCAGACAGAGTGCGAGCAGGGGAGGGGCAGAGAGAGAGTGAGACACAGAATCCGAAGCAGGCTCTGGCCTGTCAGCACAGAGCCCAACACAGGGCTCAAACTCAACTGTGAGTTCATGACCTGAGATCATGACCTGAGCAGAAGTGGGATGCTTAAGGGACTGAGGCTCCCAGGGGTCCTGGTGACTTGTAATTCTCATGCAAATTCTGCTCTGAAATTGTTTTACAAAATAGGTTATTCTGTTAAACTCCTTCTGAAAAGTAAGAAGTTTTTCTATAGACAGCACTACTCATTTTTTTTTTTTATTTTAAGGCAATGAAAAGAATTAGCTTAATGACGATGCAATTTTTAAAGAGCTGAGTGCTAATTATAGGGACGTGTTAGGTAGTTCACTGACTTTTGTGTCTTTAGCAATTCTTTTTATGGTTATATGTAAAAGATAAAACCAGGCCTATGCTATAACTTTTAGAATTGTGTGCCTTGTCATTTTTCTCTGCCTTTGTCATTGAGAATGTGTATTAGGTGTTCTTATATGGATATTTCAGAGACACTTAATTCTCATCATAAAAGTTTGAATGTGACAGTTTTTGTAGCTATAATGGTGCCAGCGTCTGCTTCTCTGCGATCCTTTTCTTATATTTGCTAATTCCCTTTCAGAGAAAGCCGTGTATACCTTTGGACTGGGACAGTTTGGTCAGCTGGGTCTTGGTACTTTTCTTTTTGAAACTTCAGTACCCACAGTCATTGAGCAAATTAAGGATCAGAAAATAAGTTCTATTTCCTGTGGAGAAAATCACACAGCTCTGATAACAGGTACATATGAGAATTTCTGTTACATAGTTCTAGAACTGGGTATGCTTTAGTACAAAATAAAAACTATGTGGAACAAATGTATCTAACTTAGGCAAAGGAATCAATAACTGAGACAATGAAAGCTCTTGTTTAATATGCCAAAGTGTGAAGCTGTAAACTCTTTTTTAATATTGGTTCAACTTAAAATCAGTGTAAATGATCCAAAGATTTAGAACCTCAAGACAAGTCAGTGCTGTCAGAGGTAAGACTGTAGAATTATACTTGGCAGAAAGCTGGAATCTTTTAGAAACTGCATCAGTTTGCAGGCTCTTAACTCCGCTCAGGACAGAGGGAAAAGTCTTACAAGAAAGAACTTACTTTAAAACAATCTCCATGTTCAGCTGGACACAGCTATATTCAGGCCAAGTCAGTTCCTATGAAGCTTTTGCCACAAGGAGGCGTTTTCAGGAGTGCCTCTGCTGCTTTCTCCACAGTGATGAAAGGGTGCCTCAAAGGCCGCTAAGTGGACACCTGAGTCCTCGAGATCTTCCGCTCTGTACTTTCTCCATTATCCATGGAGATACTGCTTTGCACCTACTTCTCAACCGTAGAAACTATGTGCTGCTAATACGGACTCAATATAAGATTCTCCTCTAGAAATGACTGCCTTCCTTTACCTGTAGATAATTGATATACTCCACAATTGTAATTGCTCTGGAATGAAAAGCTCTGTAATTTCACTATTTCCAGTTCACATTTCTATCTGAAAATGAAGTGAGCATAAAAAGGCAGAAATCATACAGCGTTTTGAAATAAACCAGATAGTGGTATTTCCATATTTGTTTCCTTCTTTCTAAAAAAGCTACTGCTAAATGGAGCTCATCTCATGGTACCTAGTTGGGGGAACTAGTAATCTGCAAATACGATGTATTACCATACACTGTTCCTTCTTCCCCAAAGAGCCTTTCAGAAAGAACTACCTGCCCATTTTCAAGTATCAATGTCCTTGTCAATGTAGCATGAAAGAGAACTATATAGGACATAAAGAATTATTATTCATATGTATCCCTTACTGCAGGCTCTTAATGTCCATTTCCCTGTCCTTATTGCTGTTTTTCATCAACTCTAAATTGCCATTGATGGTAAATACATAGTTTTTATGGATCATCTAACATACAGTTAGATTATTTGGTTAAACTTTGATACTACCTTTCCTCCTGATGGAAGAAGTCATAGCCCAAATAATTGAACATTCAGTTGGTTTGCCTATTTGCTCATGAAGCCTCCTCAGGGGAGAGGTGTTATGCATTGTTTTCCTTCCAGGACTAGTGAGAGGTGTGCAGTGAGTTATCTGTAGCTTCTTGCCAGTTCCCCATTATGTAGCCAGCGGCTTATGTTTTAAACAGCTCTCAAGCTGGAAGTACAATCAGGTAGCTTGGATCAGAGTTTATTTTTTCTGGCTATAGATCATCAAGTTAAAACACAAAGCCTAAAAAGCACTTTGGATAAGGAACTAAGGAGTCCAAAGAAGAAGAAGAAGGGAAAAGGATGATAAGGAGTGTATCTAAAGGAAGGAAATTAGCTAATATTAAGTATTATTACAAGAGTCTAAGTTTGGGGTCTAAATGCTGGTTATTGCCTATTTATGGGGAATCTGTCTTTTGTATTAATTTTTGAACTTGACACTTTACTGCATAATGTTATTATTTCTCATCACTTTTCATTTAGTTCTCTTGAATTTTCTTAGGATGACATTACTTTGCCATCTTAATTAGAAGTTCCCAAATGAGATCTTACCATGTCCTAGCTCAAAACCGTTCATTCACTTTGTTGCCCTTAAGACAGAGTTTACAAATTCTTAATACGAACTAATAGGATCCTCTGTGGTGTGGTTTCTTCTAACCTCTTCAGACTTACCTCCTACCACTTGTTGCCTTTCAGCTTCTTGACTGTGTTACATTTTCTCTTGATTCAGAGCCTTCAGATGTGCTCCTTTCTTCCAGCTAAAACCCTAATTGTCCTTTAGGTTTCACTTTGAAAGCCCTTCCTAACCCCCACACTAGAAGGAAATCCCCTCCTATGCACCCAGCCTGGCCCCCGTTCCTTCTGCTTCCATGGCATTTTCCCCCACCAAAGGGAGAAGATGTGAAGGAGGGCTTGAGAAGAGGAGTGAAGGTTCAGAATAGCTGCTGTGGCAGTGGGTTAACTGGACAGAAGCAGCCAGGTGATTCCTCATTGTCATGGGCCCAGCTACGGAGGGGTCCTCAGTTATTGGCATAGGGACCAGTCCGCCTGGTTGGTTTATGGCACATCCTTCAGTGGCATTCTGCCACCCAGGAGCTGAATTAGTAAGAGAGACAGTTGGATCGATCTAAGCCAGTAGTTCTCCACTGGTGGTGATTTTATCCCCCAGGGACACGTGACAGTGTCCGGAGACATTTTTTACTGTCCCAACTGCAGAGGCAGGGTGTTTTCTGGACATTTAGTAGGTAGAAGCCATGGATGCTGCTAAACACCCACAAAGCATAGGATGGACTGCACAGCCAAGAATTCTCTGACACCAGATGTCAGTAGTGCCAAGGTTGAGAAGCCCTGATGTAATCAATGAGCTGAGGGGGAAAAAATAGATTGTATTGTAACATAGGGGATCAGAATACAAAAATCTCCTTCCCCTTGAGAATCTGGTGTCCTTCACAAGAGCACTTACACTGGGTTGCTGCTGTTGCACACAGTGCCTCGCACGACCAGCTTTAAATTCACAAACCGCCACGGGCTTAGTGATTTTTCTCAGAGTATCTATTGCCTCACGTTATGTGCAGGACCACAGAGGCCACATAGGGTGTAGAAATAGTGAATCAGAGTAAAATCGGTACAGAATTTGAGGGAAAAATCACAATTGCAATGTAAGTAAATATACTTGTCTATTTACAAGTAGATCCATATAAGTAAGACTTTTATAATCCTCTCTCTCTTTTTTTGCATTTTAGATATAGGTCTTCTGTATACTTGTGGAGATGGTCGATATGGAAAATTAGGCCTCGGACTGGAGAACTTTACCAATCAGTTCACTCCCACTTTGTGTTCTCATTTTTTGAGATTTATAGTTCAGTTGGTAAGGGCACCACATTTGCCTGTTTACATTTTCATATTCCAGTATTTGAGTTTTGGTATTTCATAGAAGCTGAGTAATTTTATATTTGTATAAAAGAATACCATGGCTATGTCTAATCAGTATACTCATTTCCTAAAAGCTAAACGTCAGACATCGTGCCACTTGGAAGATCTGTCCCTTTCCTATTTGCCCTCCTTTCCGCATCTTCCTTTTTGCCCTGATCAGGACTCTCCTGCTTTATCCTCCTGTGTCTCTCTAGAGAGCTGGAAGTGTCATGCCTGGAAGCTTCCTGGCCGCCTCCAGCACCCAGCAGAGTGTCTGACAGTACTCAGCTGTCAGTATGTGTTGAATTAGCTATTACTGAGACTTATTTGAACTAATAATAATTTCGGGGCGCCTGGGTGGCTCAGTCGGTTAAGCGTCCGACTTCGACTCAGGTCATGATCTCGTGGTTCCTGGGTTCAAGCCCCACGTCGGGCTCTGTGCTGACAGCTAGCTCAGAGCCTGGAGCCTGTTTCGGATTCTGTGTCTCCCCCTCTCTTTGCCCCTCCCCTGCTTGTGCTCTGACTCTCTCTCTCAATGTAACAAGTAAACATTAAAAAAGAAATAATAATAATTTCAAAATATTATGAAGTGAAGGTTGAGAGTATGCTATTCTTGTATCCACCACATGGAACACTATAAAGATACTAAAAATCTGTGTATCGCAAATGCTACACAGTGGTGGTTTAGGCATTTTACTGAAAATCAGCTATTTCTGAAAATCCTTTGAATGTTGGTTTCATTTTTTATCGCTCCACCATTGTGTGTGCTTACTTTTCGCTCTAAGGACTTTGAATCATTAAAATTAAAAAGTATTCACGTAAAGAAAAGAGTTTGGAGATACAGTTTCTCCCAGAGACTGATTTATGCTTGGATCACTTTTTTCTAAGTAGAACTTCGTGGAGTAATTTTTTCAAGATGTTAGTGTTGCTTCCAAATTAAAATAACATTCCCTAACCTGTGAAGAGAAATGTAATGTGCCAGATAGTTTTTTCTCTATACTCTATTAAATTGAAAGTAAAATGGTACATTAAACTTGTTCTCATTTTCATTTGTAGTGTTTAAAGAATATATATATTGTCATTCATATGCGTGTGTATAACTTGGCGGGGAGGGGCAGACAGACTGCCTAGGAAGTCTACCATTAAGTAAACGTTTTGTGGCTGAAAACTGTTAAAAACCCATTTGCATTTGAAGCCAATGCTGATTGATTGATTTATCTGTGGATTTTTTTTTTTTTTTTTTTTGCTGTAGGTGGCCTGTGGTGGATGTCACATGCTAGTTTTTGCCGTTCCAAGACCTGGTGGGACAGAAGAAATTGAGTTACAGGGAATAAAGCCTCCTTGCTTCCCTGCAGTGCCTTCTCTGCCCTTCAACAGTCTAACCTCAGGAAACACTCTGCACAGAAGTCTATCAGCACGTGTGCGGCGAAGAGAGAGGGTATAAAGTTGTGGCCAATTCTCTATCACGGCACTACAAAGAAAACAGAAAAAAAAATCATTTTCTTTTTAAATCAAAGAAGGGTCTTTTTAGACACATTTACAAAATAAAGTTGTTAGCGTTGCAGGCTTACGAACTTGAAGCAAGTTCAGAGTCAAGCTCTGACACACACAAATGAGAAAATTCAAATGCTCATGGATAACCTTGACTTCTAGAGCACGGATACAATGCAAGGATACACAGCATCATTTTAGAGGCCTCTCTTAGCTCTTCACATCTAATGCTGAATTGTTTTCTCACCTCTATGTCGATTGACTTGTACTTTGCTTTTTATCTGTTAGCTATATACCTCGTGAGGCGTAGAAGGTTCTACATTATAAACAATGAAACGTGGGAAACAGAAATAAGGACTTCAGTTTGAGATAGGGCATGTTCTTTCTCATTGAAATTTCAGGGTTTTCATTCAGCTTTAAAATCATTATTTCAATGGCAATATTTTAAAAAAAGAAAATGTCAAATAAATTTTAAAGGAGACATTCCTTTTTTAAAAAATTAAGTTCCAAAACACATTCCTTTTGAAGTAAAAAGGTCAAGTTTGACTTTTTGTTATGAAAAAGTGTATATAGAAAGATTGAGAAATATCCATATTTTGGATTTACTGTTTTTGTTTGAGTCTCATGACCGATTTTTTGCTTCCTAGCAGAGAAAACACATATACACTTTTCCCCATCATGTGAAAAACAGGCTTCTAAATTAACAATTTAGAGCAATTTAGATACAGAGATACAGAACAAACCATTTTTGGCTCCTTGGGGATTACTTAAACATGAATGTGGGACAGTGGGCAACTTTGAAGTCTCTTTCGTAAATATTTTTAGCACCTGGAGCGTAGTTTATGTCAATCTTAAATACATACTCTCATCTAACTGTTTAATCTGTTTATTTTAAAGGAGAAATCGCCCGACTCTTTTCGAATGACACGAACACTACCTCCACTTGAAGGGACTCCTGTGCTACCCGTTTGCTTTCCCCCCATCCCGGTTCCTTTCCATCTGTCTCCAATTAATCTGCCAGAGAAAATGATACCTAAAGAGGACAGTTTCATGCAGCCCATAAAGCCCATGCGCATGCCAGGTAACATCTGACACTCCGCAGGCTCGCATAAGAAATGTGCCGTTGTTTTCGTGGTTATCATAAGATGTTTTCTTCCTAGCTAGAGGCTGACATCTCTCATTTGAGCTCAAGCCCAGCAGTACTCTCACAAATACAAAGCATCGTAAGTGGCCTTAGAAACCCCATGTTGTAATAATAGCATATTTTTACGGAGCAATGCACAACATACATAGTGCCTTCTCTTTCAGCATCTCCTTTAAATCCCAGAGCAACTCCACGAAATAGGTAGGAGTTAATCAGTTCCTTATTTTTACAGATGAGAAATGCAAGACTTCAGGAGACTGAGTGACTTGGCCACTGTCACTCAGCTTATAAATGAAGTGAGCAGGATTCGAATATGGGTCTTCTGGACCAATGTGAAGTCCTGCATTTAGATAGTATAACATAGTGGTTAAGAGCATGGGGTATGGGGTTAAATTGATCTGGAATAAGATGTTCGCTCTGACATTTATTAACTATGTGACTTACTTTGGGAAAGCTACTTAATTTCTCTGAGACTCAGCTTCCCTGTCTTTGAAATGAGTCTAATACAGCTTTAGAGAGTGACTAAGATTAAATGAGATAAGGTATATGAAATACTTAGCATTGAGCCTAGCACCTCTAGGAAGCTCTTTGTAAGGATAGTCATTCATATTATTAACACCTCTACCTCACTGTCTATTAGATATACATTTTATTTTATTTTTTTGTTTTAAATATGTATTTATTTTTGAGAGAGAGAGACAGTGCAAGCAGGGAATGGGCAGAGAGAGAAAGGGAGACACAGAATCTGGAGCAGGCTCCAGGCTCTGAGCTGTCAGCACAGAGCCTGACGTGGGGCTCAAACCCACAGACTGTGAGATCATGACCTGAGCTGAAGTCGGACACTTAACTGACTGAGCCAGCCAGGTGCTCCTATGTTTTATTTTTTTAATGTTTGTTTATTTTGAAATAGTAAAGCGCGAGCAGGGGAGGGGCAGAGAGAGGGGGAGAGGAGTACCAAGCAGGTTCCGTGCTGTCAGTGCAGAGCCCGACATGGGGCTCCATCTTATGAATCATGGGATCATGACCTGAGCCAAAATCAAAGAGTCAGACGCTTAATTGACTGAGCCACCCAGGTGCCCCCATGTTATATTTATTTATTTTTTTTTAAATTTTTTTTAATGTTTTATTTATTTCTAGGAGAGAGAGAGAGACAGCATGAGCAGGGGAGGGTCAGAGAGAGAGAGGGAGTCACAGACTGAAACAGGCTCCAGGCTCTGAGCTGGCAGTCAGCACAGAGCCCGACGCGGGGCTCGAACCCACGAACCGCGAGATCATGACCTAGGTGAAAGTCGGACGCTTTACCGACTAAGCCACCCAGGCGCCCCTACCCATGTTATGTTTTAAACTGTAATCCCAGCTCCTTGGCTACATACTCCTCATATAAATAATTTTGTGTACAAACATTTGTGTATCTTAAGAGCGTATATATGTTAATACTGGGAATATGCTTGGATAGTAGGGGCAGGGCAAGAAGCCAGGACCCGAGAGATCAGAGTCAGCAATAGGTTTGGAAATAAGACAATTTGGGCATCTGGGATTAAGAACCATGGCACAGATAATTTTTGGTATCTTTGGAATCAAGAACCTAGAGGGAAGTTGAGGTCATAAATGCCAGACCTGTATGCCACGAGAATAGAATATTATCTACAGCTAGGACCTTGGTAATGAGCTGTTTTCTTGCATCTCGTACACAACTTTTGTATGCTTCCTTTTGAGATAAGAGTCCCTGGCACCATATACGGAAAAAGCTGTGTCCGACAACAGTATGTACAAGGAAAAGAGAAGTTTACAGTTTGGGGGAAGTTGTTTCCCACCTCAAGAGATTTGAATGTGAACATACATGGAATTTCGTAGCTAGATCCAAAGGAAAAGCGATCCCTTATCTTTTTGTGGCTATTTGCTAAAACTGTCTTCAAAGTATTCTGAAAGTTATACCTAACATATAATGTGACATTTTCTAAATTATTTGCAGACTTCAGTGTTTATGGAGGAGGTAGGAAGGCCAGGGAAGATCTTGCTGAGAAGGTAACATTTAAGCTAAAACATAAAGGATAAGAAAGACAGCCACGTGAAGAGAGAGGATAATATGCATTTGGGGCAAAGAGAATAATAAATATAGGCAAAGGTTTGGAGGCAGTTTATAAGAAAAGGAAGGAAGACCTTTGGAGCTGGAGAGTGAGGGAAAAGGCTAGACAAGGTGCCAGAGAAAGAATGGGAAAGCATTCATGACTGTAGGCCGTGAGAAGCCTCTTTGATTTGAGTGTTTTTCTTAAGTGCAATAGAAAGCCGTTACAGGGTTTTAAACAGTGGACTGATGTGCTCCAATCCAATTTACATTTTAAGATGCTCCTTCTGCCTCTCTATGGATTGTAGGGAGGAACGACTGAAGGTGGGAAGAATATTTAGCAGCCTTTTGCAAGAGACATCAGTGTATGGTCCAAGGTGTTTGCTGTGGAGACGGAGCGAAGGGGGCAGATGGGAAATACATTTTAGACATAGAGCTAACTGGATTTGCTCACCGTATTAATGGATGACACATAGATGTGAAGGAAAGGGAGGAATCAATGATGGCTCCTGGGCAAGAGGATGGTTGGCAGGCTTGAAGAAAAAATGAAAAATAGAGCTTGAGACCCCTGTGAGACATCCAAGCAGGAATACCGAGCAGGCAGTTGAAGATGCAAGCCTCAAGTTCAGAGGAGAGGTCTGAACTAGAGAGAGAAATTTGGAGCCCGACAACACACAGATGGTATTTGCAATCCGTGGGACTTTGTGAAAGCACCTCATAGGTAGAATCACTTATTAGATAGAGAAGAGAGCCCAGGATTTGGCCCTAAGAACATCTCACATTTAGAGAGTATGGGAGGAGGGCCAGCAAAGATGTTCTGTCAGCCAGCAGGGTAAGAGGAGAGAAATCAGGAGAGCATAGGGTCCTGAATTCAAAGCACTGCTCAGAGGTCAAGGCGAAAGCTTGCAGAGGCATCCCGTGGATTTGGCATCATGGAGAATACCCGTGATCTTGACACAAGTAGTCCCAGGGTAAGATGAGGGCAGAAGCTAGAGGGTTAAGAGTTGAGGCAGGAATGGGAAATGAGGAAGTGAAGAGGAGATGGGGTGTGTAGATAACCCTTTGGCGTAGTGGTCGTGAAGAGGAGCAGAGAAAAGGGCTGGCAGTTAGAGGGAGATGTGCGTTCAATGGGAAATACCAGAGCATCTTTGTATGCTAGTGGACACGAGCCAGTTGTCCCAGACGGATTGGTAGCACATGACAACGACAGTCCCCAGAATGCAAAGCTTTTGAGAAGAGTGGGGCTGGCATGCTGAACAATCTTTGTAAGCTGCCGGAGTGCAGCCCCGGCTGGTCCAGGGGTCCCTGAAGGATGGACAGTGTCGGCGAGGGAGGGATGAGAGAGGCGCGAGATTCTTTCCTGTCACCAGCCAGGCCTCTCCACACTGAGACTCAACTTTATTTTATGGTTTAGTGTTTGAGGGATGGCGCAGAAGTGGCATTCTGATGATCAATCCTTTGATCACTAAAGATTCTCCAGAACATTGATATGCAAAAGGTATGGGGAACAGCCCAGAGGCGGCATTAGCATAGTAAAGGCAAAAGTTAGTTCTTTGTGAGTAGGGGCCAATAGCCTGTTTATCGATTAATGGGAGGTATTAAGAAACACAGGTCTTTCAGGAATGCAGTGTTGCTCCCATAACCACAAAAGGAGTTCCTATAGTAAGTTCCTTCACAAAGTGCAGTTGGCACATCAAGACCAGAATGAATCACTCCTAATACCAATCAACAAGGTGACTTGGGGGTCAGTGCTCAGTTGGTTGGGGGTGGATATCGGTTGCCATCTTATGGTAAGAGTCCGTGCAACTTACCTTAACCTCACAAGGAGTTCTTTCTCAACGTATGAGTTCAGAAATGGTTCCCAACAGTAAGAAGGAAAGACACATCCTGTATTTTAACAGGAAAATGGAGCTAAATGTGTACATTTGTTGGTGGGAAGATAAGGCAGATCAGGTCTGTTGACTTCTATTTTCTCAGTCAGGTATAAGGCAAAGCTTAAATGATCTACTGTCTGTTTTCCAAACCTCCATTCTCTGCCATCTCCAACCTCTCCTGCTTAGCATTTCCTGTGTTAACCTTCCTCAGGCATGGTTCAGTTCCTATCTGTTCCAGTGTCTTCTGATAATCCTTAATATTTTTGAAAATAAGTATAAGTTTCCCCATATAACACCAACCCACTTTTTAAGCTTCATCTCTCAATAGTCTTTTTCTTAAAGCCTTAATTTAGGTCACAGGTCTGTAAACCACAGCTCATGAGCCAAATCTAGCCAGCTGCTTATTTTTGTAAATAAAGTTTTATTGGAACCCAGTCATGCCATTCCTTTATGTATTGCCTACGGCTGCTTTTCCACTACAGAGACAGAGTTTGAGTCATTAGGACAGAGACTATATAGCCACAAGGCCTAAAATGTTTGCTGTGTGGCCTTTTACAGAAATAGTTTTCCAGCTCCTAATCTTGATTAAACTGACCTCTTCACAGTCAGACTTAGTGGAAAGGCTGTTGAAGTCAAGCCAGACCTGAGATTGACACTTGGCGCTTAAGTAATCATTTGTGAAATGGGTTATGCTACTTACCACTCGTTGTCACGGAGATCACTCGACATGTATGAAGGCGTGTGCTCCCAGAACATGGAAAGCCAATAGTACAAGCCATTCTGCCACTTCTCCTAGCGCTGGGCTGTCTTTTCTTCTCCGTCTGCCTCCTCCTCCACCTCTCAGAATTCTACTCACTTCCCTGCACCCATTTAGTGAAATATTTCCTGATTCCCAACATTTGTGTGTGATTTCTCATGCCAGTATATCACATATTTTATGTTCCCTTCTAGACTGTACGTTCATGAAGAACTAGCAGTTACTTAAGTTGATTATCTCCCGCACAGTACCTCGCATGGGAATAAACACAAACTGGTTATTTGCTCATTGGAATTGAATGTATTTACAAGGGAGAGATCAGTGGGGAATGGTGTTTTTAGTGAAGACTGCATTCAGGAACTCCTCTCAACTACGAATGCGGGTGCTAAATGTGGGTATGGTGAATGAGAAAAATGTAAGGTCAAGTAGAGCTCATAAGTCTTTTTTTTTTTTTTTTTTGATGTTTATTTTTGAGAGAGAAGGACGGACAGAGTATGAGTGGGGGAGGGGCAAGAGAGAGAGGGAGACACAGAATCCGAAGCAGGCTCCAGGCTCTGAGCTGTCAGCACAGAGCCCGATGCAGAGCTCGAATCCACAAACCGTGAGATCATGACCTGAGCCGAGTCGGATGCTTAACTGACTGAGCCACGCAGTGCCCCAAGCTCATAACTTTTAATGATCTGCTTTATGATGTAATACAGTTTTCCATGCAAGTTTGTAGGTGCTTGTACTAGTCATCTTTTTCTATGTAACAGGTGACTTTAAAACTTTAAAACTTATCTCAGAGTTTGTGAGGGTCAAGAATCCAGGTACAGCCCAGCTGAGGGATTCTGGCTCAGAGTGTTTCCTGCAGTTATGATCGTGCTGTCAGACGGGGCTGTAGTCATCTTAAAGCTCCATTGGGGCCGAAGGATCCTCTTCCATGTTCACTCACGTGGCAATTGGCAGGGGGTTTTACTTCCTCAGCACATGGACTTCTCCCTAGGAATGCTCCTAGCATGGCTTCCCCTGGAGAAAGGGAAGCAAGAAAGAGAGATGGCGGCGGGGAGGGTGGCGGGGAGACCAAGGTGTAAACTGCAATGACATGACAATTATGTCTGCTTTATTTTATTGGCCATACAGATCAATCTGGTAAAATGTGAAAGGGAACAACACAAGGGTACGCATACCAGGAGGATGGGGTCACTGGGGCACTTTTTAGGGGATTGGCCATCACAGTGCTTGATACCTGGGTAGTACTTCTCCCAAAGGAATAGTGTTTGCCCGTTCATATGAATGAAGCAGTTGTTATCATCAGCATCAAAGTCTTTCAACTTTCAGACAGAGACTTTAAAACCTATTATTACTATGAATGAATTCTGTTCAGTTCTGTAAGCATGAGGTTAAAAGACTTTAGTAAAATCATGCCTGCACTTTATATCATGGAATAATTTATTGTCCAGTTGTCTTTCATTTTTCCATTGAAATCTGGTTTTTCCTTTTCCCTTTGAATCAGGTTGTTTTCAAGATAAAATGACCACAGGGAAAGATACAGACATTTTCTCAGCAACAGATTCACAAAGCCTTGGAGAAACTACTGATGTGTTAAATATGGTACTGGTTGTCTTATTTATCTATATAAATATGTTTGGATTTTAGTTCGTCATGTATTCATATGTATGTGTACTTCCTATGTTAAATGCGTCACAAAAGCTTTTGGTTTTGGTTTTGTTTTCATTTTGTTTGTTATTTTTATGTTGCACATTATTTTATTGAGGTATAGGTTTCATACAAATACAATTATTTTCAATCCTCATAACATTAATATGCAGTTGAGAGTTGATTATATTACTGTCTGAACTGTTTTGTGTTAATTTTGTACATACATTAGGATGTGTCAATGTGTAATTCTATAGATAGTATCTGTTCTTTTTAGAACATGTTTTTTATTTATTTCAGACACACATGATGAGCCTGAATTCTAATGAGAAGTCATTTAAATTGTCACCAATTCAAAAACAAAAGGTAAAATATAGAGACTTATTTTCATTATTGTGGGTAAGAACAGTTTAAATTACATTTTTTTCTTGAAAATTTCTAGAAAGTACACATGAAAGATAAGTATTCATTTACTTTAGATTTTTACAGACAGAGGAATACATCGGAGATAGCCTCAATTTGGGTTTGTTCTGTGGGACAGAAAAAGTGACAATTTCATTGCTGAAATTTGCTCTTTGGTATCACCAAGTTGTAACAACAGTATTTTCTTATCATTAAAGGATTATATGGAAGAGAGGCTACTGTTAATCAGAATGATTCTCAGACTTGGGTTGAGTGTAACTTTGGTTGAGTTACCATGCTGATCTCAAAGATCTTTTCTAGCTCTGAAATTGGTTGGTTTTGGTGAAAATATTTGATAATTGTTTTTCCAATGTGTGGAATGGGTTTTAATCTATCAGGAATTGATAGCATAAAACCAGAATTAAAGGTTTGGAACATAATCAGAAACCATGCATGGGTGACAAAGAGAGACTTTTAATGAATAACAAAAGAATAACAAAAGGAAGGGATAGTTTGGTTTTCACAACCCTGTAGAGATAAAGGCCTGCCCCTCACATCCTTTGCTTCTCCTGACTTTTATGACCAGTGAGGTGAAAGGAGGAGGGCTTTGGCAATTAGAAAAGTAAATTAGAGAACTATAAATTGAAGGAAGGAGGCTTACAGAAAACATTGAATTTCCGTTTCCAGTGCCTTTGCCACATTAATAAGCTAAAATTCCTTAATCGAAATCCAGGAGAATCTTGCTGAATTATAAAACCTTAGTGCCAGGCTTCATTTAGTCTTCTCTCTAGTTTACTGAGAGGCGTGGTGAGTAACAGCATTCCTGGTGAATGTGGGAGAGGTGTTGTTATAACACACCAAGGAAGCCCGGTGAATGTTGACTGACTTTACTGACTGACTATACTTCTAAGCAGTTATCTTTCTTGTGTCTTTTCTTCCTCTTTTAGACTCAAGGCTCTGCCTCTTCCTTGCTACTTTACTGTACTAGGGAAATAAAGACACATACATGTAGAAATCATTTTTGGCAACTGGGCCTCCGTCTCTCTTTAGGGCCCTGGGAAGAATTGTGACTTTAAAGAATAGGACCTAGAACAAATGGAAAAGGAAAGCACTTCCTTGTAAACTGAGATATATTTTATACACATAGTCCTTTTAAGTAGCAGCCTGACCAGACCTATTCTAGTGAATAAAAAATGATTTATTTTAGTATTTCCATATATTAATTTTTAACTTGTGCTGTTTTAGTAATATTTTTAAGCAAAAAACAACCTCCTTCTACGCCTAGCACTCACAACAATTTTTAAAATTTGATTTAGTGAGATTTTACTATCCAGAGACCAAAAATTCATCAAATATTTCAGTTCATTAGGCCTGTAGAATTCAGGCTAACAGTGTGATTTTTTACCTTATTTTGTCCAGCAGGAAATTAATTTCATGGTCTTAATATATCATTTGAGTCGCAATGTTTAATTTCATAGTTTATATGAAAATCTTACATTTTACCTGAAGTGTTTTTTCCTCATAGTGATTTCTCTCATGTATGCAAGTTTTTATAATGAAAGAATATAGTAGATAAAAGGAAAGGGTCAAAAATTTGAAAACCCAAATATTTGTTTTGCAAAGAAAAATATTCTTGTCTAGTATGTGGATAAAAAGATTTCATTGGCTGTTTTCATTTCAGATTTTTCATCTAGAGATAAGCTATTCATTTTTTCTAATTTTTGACAGTTTCATGTTTTCACTTATTTTCTTTTGGGAAGTTCATGGAATCAAAAGACTAATCACAGTTTGGCAATTAAAATACTAGGGAAGGTAGGAAAAACTGAAACTGCACTGTATGGAAGGGAAGTGTACACTTTTAACAGTATTCTGCAAAATCAGTCTGGAAGAGTACTCGGTTCTAGAATTGATTCAGGCTGGGAAAAGGAGTAGAGAAGAATACCGGTGGCACCGTGTGAGTAACGGCCAGATGAAGACAGGTGGTACGGATGTGCAGGTTAGCCGCAGAGACACAGTGCCACATCCGAACCGGTTGTCCCGTAGACTTAGAGAGTGGCACAAATGATCTCCAGAGAAAGTGACATTGGAGCAAAGCGTCTGGTCAAACTGGACACTTTTTGTTCTGCCAGCGACACTTAGAGTGATACAAAATCTTGGCGGTATTTTGTAGCAGGTAAGTTAACCTTTGTCAATTAACAGTCGTGTGACAGTTATTTCACAAAATTTGCAGAAACAAGAAACAGTCGCGAAACTGAACCAGCGTGCAGCTCGCTTTGAACACGATGGTAGTACAGAGCGTACAAAGGAAGAGACATCCAAAACGGTGACAGAGAGAAAAGCGTATAGACAGCTGGTGGCACAGGGAACGTACATGCTGCCAGCACTTGGGAATGGGCGCCTGTTTTCAGACAAGGACTTAGGTGAGGCGTCGGGCCAGCCGGGGCCTCAGGCCAACACCCATGCCAAGGGTGTGTGCAGAGAGAGATTCAGACTTGAGAGCAAGCGCAGCATTTGCCCACCTGACAGGAAGGAGATAGAACAGGAAGGTGATGGAAGCCACGGTCAGAAGGATTCAGCAGCCGCAGAAGCAGTGCCTGAGAAAGAAACTGCGCTGCTGGAAATGGCAGGTCTGAAGGATATGAGACAAAGTGAAGAGCATTTAAGACATATTAACACATTCTTTGACGACTTACCAAATAGAGACGTGAATCTTGAGGATGAAGGGAGGAAAAGCTTTGTTAAGGACGGTGAGAGGAACACGCAAGATGTGATCTGTGACAGTGAACGGGAGTCCGTAGAGGGGGCAGACAGTTACGTGGAAGGCGAAAGTGAAAGCCAGCAAGGTACCATTGACGGCTTCGAACAGCCCGAGTCCGTAGAATTCAGTAGCGGAGAGAAAGAGGATGAAGAAGTGGATATTGACCCAAACTTGTGGTATAGCAGGAAATTTATTGAGCAAGGACATGAGGAAGAAGCTGAACACAAAATGTCCAAATTCGCGGCAAAATACGATTTTAAGTGTGACCACTTGTCGGAGATCCCAGAGGAGCAGGAAGGAGCAGAGGATTCAGAAGAAAGTGGAATAGAGGAGCAAGAGGTAGATGCAAGTGAGGAAACTGTGGAGGTGCTCGCAGGGAAAGAGGAGGAGGAAGTAGAGATCCTGTCAGACGATCTTACAGACAGAGCAGAGGTGAGTGAGGGCAAGGGAAAGGCAGGGGGAGAAGCGGAGGAGGATGTGCCCGAAGGTGGAGGTGAGGGGGAGGTCCGGCGGGAGGGCGGTTTGGGAATGGAACGGAGTCAGCGTGAGGAGGGGGAAGAGAAGGAAGACCAGGGAGGGGGAGAAATGGAGAGCCCGGATGAGGGGGAGCAAGACCTAGAGGAGGAGGAGGACCAGGACCACAGGGAGAGGGAGCGAGGTCATAACGGGATGGGGCGAAGGGAAGGGGAGGGGCAAAGAGATGGCAAGGAAGGGGAGGGGAGAGAAGAAGACAGGGAAGAGGACGAAGGCAAGGAGGAGGGACAAAGGAAAGAGGAAGAAGCTCAAGAGGAACGACCTGGAGAGGGGGAAGAAGGGGAAGGGGAAGGGGAGGAGGAAGAGGGAGAAGCAGAGGGAGATGGGACGGAAGGGGAAGGGAGAGGGGGGAGAGAGAGAGAAGCAGAGAAAGATGAGGAGGAAGCTGAGGAGGAAGGAGAGGAGGGGGAAGGGGAGGAGGTTGGAGAGGAGGAAGAAGAGGAGGAAGCAAAGAAAAGAGAAGGTGAAGGGGAGGAAGAAGGAGAGGGAGACGGAGAGGAAGGAGAGGGGGAAGGGGAGGAAGAAGAAGGTGAAGGAGAGGGAGAAGGGGAGGAAGAAGAAGTGGAAGCAGGGGAGGAAGATGAGGGCGAGAGGGAAGAAGAGGGAGAAGAGGAGGAAGGAGAAGAGGAAGGGGAGGGGGAGGAAGGAGAGGGGGACAGGGAGGAGGAGGCGGGAGAGGGGGAGGAGGAAGAGGAAGCGGAGGGGGAGGGGGAGGAGGAAGAGGAGAAGGAAGGCGAGGGGGAAGAGGAAGAGGAGGAAAGAGGGGGGGAAGGGGAGGGGTACAGAGAAGAGGAGGAAGAGGAAGAAGGGGAGGAGGAAGGAGAGGGGGAGGAAGCAGAGTGGGGAGTGAGGGAGAGGGAAGACGAGGAGGACGGTGAGGAAGAAGAGGGGAAATATGCGGACACGGGAGATGAAGAGAGGGAAAAACAGGCAAGGCAGGGCGAAGGAAGAGAGTCCAGCAAAGTGAGCAAAATCAAAGGGTCTGTGAGATACGACAAAAATAAGGCTTACCCCAGAAAGTTTATCCCTAACCCAGAGGGAAAGGGGAAAGAGCATGAGGTACAGAGGTTCAAAATGCCGGAGCAGTCAAAACAGGTTTTAGAAAATGGGCTGCCAGGTTCCAGAAAATTCTGGAATAATGTATTACCACATTATTTAGAATTGAAGTAACAACATCCAGCCAAATAATTTGAACATTTTACATGTAATAGGCACTAAGTGCATCGTATCAAATTGATTTGATGTCACGGTCACTTTGTGTGTCTTACAGCAGCGACTGATAAGACAACACAAGGCATTGGTAAATTTGGCTCCTCTTAAGCTAATGTTTTGGTATGTTTTCCCTCCAAATTATAACTCTGTCACTAGAAAATGGTCGTAGCAGATAGTTAACGTTATATATTCCTCATTAGAGACCGTTTGTATATACAAAAGGGTCCCTTTAAAGATGGCACAGACCCTTAAGTGCCATGAGAACATCTCATTTCTCATACATTTCTTTCAGTCCCTGATTACAAGTTGCCTACTATGTAGAATAATTCTATAAGATTTTCTGAAGATTTTTTTTAAGGCTTTCTAGACCTAAAATGGAAGACTCACATGTTTAAAAAGTAGTGCTGTCTTTTTACCTTTTACGTGTCCTTTTTGCAACAGTCTACCAAGTGACAGCTAGATTCGGGGCTTGGGTTGTAATGTGATGTCTTTCAGTGACCGCCTGGGCAACTGGCAGTATATCTCATGAAGTGGAGATGAACTTAAATGTCTATTCTGGAAGTATGTACAACTTTTAAGTATTTATTGCCCAGACAGAGCTCCCCGCCCGGGCTTCGGTTTCCTCACCCGTGAAACGGAATAGGTTAGATGATAGAACTCCAGTCCCTTTTAACTCAGACTCTTTCATTCGAACAGGCTGATTTCCTCCCATCGTGTTTGTTGTTTTGCAGAAGAGTTTTTTAAGGAAGAAAAATTATACTTTAAAATTAATTGAGTTTCTATAAAATAATGATCTTTACTCATACAAACTTATGGCAGCTTTCACGTCTCTTGTCTTCTGTCATTCTGTATTTCTAAACCATCACTTCTGACCTTTAACTGTCCTGTTAGAATCCTCATCCCCAGTGTCTATGATGTACCCTTCAACCTGTCCTCCGCTGACTACTCTGTAATTCTCAGTTTGTTGCTTGTCGGAATGTTTCAAGTAAAATAAACATTAAACGTATATTGTTTGTGTATGGAATTTTAGGGAGGCTGGATTTCTATTAGTGTAAATTCAATCTTCCCTTAAGATGTTCAGTATGTATAATGCAGCCAGATTGTTCTTTATTCATAGCTCCCTTTTCAACGGATTCACTGCTCTGGTCCCTTCCAGATCTTGGGCATTAGGGATTTCTTATACTTTCTTTTATCGAGGAGGAGGATCTTGATGGTAAACTTCCTGTGAATTTTGTAAAGTGGGATCCTTTGCACATTTGATTCTCCATGAGCAAGAATCAGGGGCGAGAGACTAGAGTACAAAGAGAAGAAACTCCTAGGAGCACTTGTAGATTTTGTTTTAGCTGCAGGGCTCTCTGGTTGCTTCCCCTAACTAACCAAATATGCTAATTTGGCATTGCACAGTTCTACCAAATTCTGCCACGTTCAGTAAGTGCCAGTGGTGTAGAGTTGATGCTTTGGCAAAGTGTACGTGCCATGTTGTCAGTACTAGGGCCTCATATGGTTATTGAAAAAGTCGACTTAAAAGGATTAACTGAGACGGATGATTGAAGAGGAGTTCATAAAGGAAAAGCCTTCAGGGAGAAGAGAAACTCTTACACTCAAGTTACTAATGTAAAAGGTGTGGGCATTCCTCTTGCCGCGAAGACATCATCAGCCAGCAGTGCTGAAATGGACTTCTTACCGGTGGCCATCTCAGCATTGGAACTGGTCGAGAGAGGCGCTTTTTCAGACAGTGTTTCCTGCCCATTTCTTCACATTTCCTTGGCCAAAAACATGTTCTGTGCTCTTTTAGGAATAGTAGCTCGTGCAGGCCCAGTGTTCTGGTTAGAAGAGCACAGGCCTAGGCGTCTGGAGATGGGAATTAGTACTAGGTTAAATCGTTTGGAATAACCCGTTCCCTTCCGTATCGTTCCCACCTGCTGGTTGATCAAGCTTTGATTATGGTCTGTCACTGACCAGTACCGAGGCCAGTGTGAGTTGTGGATGCAGAGTCCACTGAGTTACAGTTGCAAGGAGGACTCTGGCAGAACAGTACTTTAAGGGAAGCTACAAAGGAGTTCCACTCGAACGTCTGCAGCTGCCGAAGAGCAGCTCTTGAGGTGAGTGCACGGAGCTGTTTTCTCTTACTTCGTTATAGACGTAAACTTGCTCTTCGCATCTGTAAAGGCAAAAGGCTGCCGTAGAGGAAGGTGCTGTAATTCCTCCTTCCTTCATTCCTTCCTCTGTACCTGGCCTACAACTTCATATTTGGTTGCCTACGGTTCACTCAACCAATAAGTGTGTACCTAAGCACCAAAAACAGAACAGAAGCTCTCCGAAATCAGGTAGATGTCAAGAAATGAGGGCTGCTTATAGTCCAACTCCGTGGCCTTGTTACCTGTCAGGGACATTAGGTAGGTACAGATTTCTTGAAAGAACACCAGGTAAAAAGAGTTCCTCTAACTCTGCCTCTAATGGTGGCTTAACAGTGCCCTTTCGTCCCCTCGTACCCCCGTGTTCTTAGCTAGGACTACGCAAACACACAGCTGTGATCTGAAAACAGATCTGTGGCTTTCCAGGCTGGGAGCCACGGGGCGTGTTTCAGTGGGCCCGCAGCCTAGAGGGTCTCTTGGTCCTGGATACAGAGGCAGGGGGCCTTATGTGTTTATGAAAGTGGTTCAACAGCAAGATTAAGAAGATCACACTTGGCCCTTTGTAACATTCTGGCAGCGGTGTGGAGGGTGGGTCGGAGAGGAAGAGGACCGGAGCCGGGGACGCCAGTGAGGACGCAGCTCTAGGGGACCAGACAGAGACAGAAGAGGGGCTGAACTGGGACGGCGTGGACAGAGAGTTGGTGTCATGTGCTATCAAAAGAACTTTAGGGAGAGAATTGGAGGGCTTAGTAAAGAGATGTAACTTGGAGGGAGGGGAAAGGCCAGGTTTTTCCTGTTTGTGCCTGAAGAACCGGGTGGAACGTGTGCCATTCGCCACGGCTGGGAACAGAGGAGTAGGGGCAGACTTAGGAGCCTGCTTGGGGCCTGTTGATCCCAGAGGTGTTCAGCAGACAGGTATGTGTCTGGGCCTGGAGCTCAGGGGAGATGGCTGGGTGTTGCCAGCTTTTATGGGGAGAGAAAAGCATGGAGTTGAGTGAGAGAAGACGGCACTCGTGGTATGAGAAGGGAAGAGAACTGAAGACGGAGTTTGAGGAAACATCAGTAGGTAAGGCGGACGTTGAGCGAGGGAAGTCTGAGAAGGAGGCTGGGTAGGAACACTTTCTAGGAAAGGGAGGTGCCGCTCCAGCCAAGGAAGCAGTGGCAGAGGGCAGCAGAGAGGTCTGGCGGAGGCAGGGCAGAGGCTGGGCGGGCGCCCCAGGAGGCCTGCCCTGCAGAGAAATAGGATCGGGGTCTCGGTGCCCTGGGAAAACCATCTTGGACTTTTACCTGCGATGACTCTACACGAGGGTACGTCAGCATAGGATGTTGTTGAAGCGAGCTTCTCAACAAAAAGGAAGAGCCTACAGACCCCTGAATTTCAGCACGTGAGGGGAACAGCTCTGAGGGCAGCAGTTCTGGTCGTCGCGTTGTTCGGGCAGAGCTGGGAAAGAGCCTGGGCCCTGGCACCCGATAGGCCTGGATTCAGAACCCCAGCCCTTCACACATTAGCTGTGTAAACACCTGGAAGAGCTTTTCTCCTTTTCTTTTCTCTTTTCTTTTCTTTTCTTTTCTTTTCTTTTCTTTTTTCTTTTCTCTTCTCTTCTCTTTTCAACTTTCCTGAGGCTTATTTCTTTCTTTTTAGAAAGGGAAGGGTCTTTGGGTAGTTAAATTAGTTAACACATGAAACATGTTAGAGGTATTCAGCAAATGGCAACCTGTGTCACTCTGTCCCCTCTGACCATATCAAGTCAGGTGCAGAACTACCCTCACAAATCTCCTGATCACTGACAGATGTGCATGAATTTAGTCCTGTGAACCTGACTTCTGTTTAAATACCACATAGCTACCTCCCCCCCCCCCCAATTGACTTAAGACAGTAGATCTATGGGAACGGAGTGAGTTAACAATAATGATAAATAACTCTTCAATATGGGGTAGAGTGAACCTCTGCACACCATCCACGGGTCATCCGTGCCCCTCAGCGTCTGAAGCATGGTGAGAGTCAACGGTACTCACACGGTTAGGCGTCATCACTGCTACCGGACAACAGATTTCCCTGTATCCTACTGTTTTTTGTTTTTTTTTTTAATCAAGATAGATTAAAGAATAACTCAGCACATGAAACTGCCTACCAGCAAGAGGTTCTGTATGCCGAGCATTAGATTGACAGTTGCAGGCCTGCTTGTCAGAGTCCAACCAGAATGGATTTGGTGGTAGAGATACCGGGTTAGGAGTGAGCTCAGGGATTGGTGCAGAGAGAGAAGGAAAAGTCTGGGGATTACAAAGTAGTGACATGAGAAGCTGATGATTTGGAGGCCCACCTGGGAGTCCATAGGTGTGCTCTGGCTTGCAGACTGACTTTGTTTGGCATACACAGTGATTTTTTTTTTTAACATTTGAGTCCATTGCCAACATTGAAATACCCGGAAATTTTATACCGAAACCGTGTTTTGCGAACTTCTCTTGGAAACCTGAGGCAGCACCGGCCCACAGCCCAGTCAGACTGGCGCCTCCACTTCCCTGTCATCCTGGGCTGCTCCTGGACCGGTCCTGCCTTCTCGCCTTGCCTGCTCTAGCTGCCAGGCTCCCGGCAGGGATAAAGGGATGTGTGCAAGAGGGTAGAACAAATGGGTGTACACCTTAAATGAACCATTTTCTGGTGATAAGTTCTGGGACATTATGGTGCAAACGTGTCCAACCATTTTGGGTTTTTTGTTTTGTTTTGGTTTTGGTTTTTTTGGATCGGTAGGCCTCAATGTACACCAGGGAGTCTTAAAATCGCATATATTTATTTTTTAAATCACTTCTGTTTCTATGCAGATA